GTTCCTCATGTTGTGGTGACCCCCAACCATAAAATTATTTTCATTGCTACTCTATAACTGTAATTTTGCTACTGTTATGAATCATAATGTAAATATTTTTGTTTTCTGATTGTCTTAGGCGACCCCTGTGAAAGGGTCATTTGACCCCCCCAAAGGGGTCACGACCCACAGGTTGAGAACCGCTGGTCTAAAAGGTGTCCACACTACCACACTGCTCAGTCAATCCATTGCCATCTGGTCTACCCCAGATGAAAGGCGGTGGTCCCTGAGCTCCCACAAATAGTTCTTTCATATCAAAAATTTAATGCTGCTGGAAAAAAACAACAACTGCTCCCCTGAGGCTCAGGGAGAGGCCTGAGCCAGGTAACCAAGACACCCCTGCCCCTATGAGCCTCGCCCTGAGTAACAACCCACAGCAAGCGCAAGGGGCAAGATTAGGGAAAGAGACCCCGCTGTGGTATGGGCGCAAAGCCTGCTGACAGCTGAGGGTGGAGCAGGAGCACTAAGAAACTGCCTCCAGCACTCGAGGTTCCCACGGACACAAGGTAGCCCTCCCCACCACTGATGACCAGGCCACTTCATTTAGAAATGGGAAGCCTCTTCCATCATGTCTCTGTTCACCTTTCCATGTCATCACCCACCATCCACCAATCCATGCATCCATCCACACAGCCCTCTACTCATCCATCCATCCATCCATTTACCTTTTCACTCTCCCCCCTCCACCCCTCCCTTCCTTCCTTCTTTCTATCCCTCCCTCCACCCTTAAAGTCATTAAGATAGCTTTTTCTTCCAGAAACCAGCAAGTGAAGCTCTCTGACTCTTCCCAGTTCCTCCCTCATGACACCAGGCACTCCTTTGTGTTTTCAACACACCAAATGCAAGCTGGTTCTCCAAACTCATCCTGTACTTCACACCTCTCAGTTTTTGCTTATGCATTTACTCTGCCGGGAACTGCCTTACTTTTTAAAGAAAGCTCAGAAGCCTGGTGCCCTCTGATCATTCTTCAAGACCTCCTTCAAGAGTCAATTCCTCCGCAGAAAGCCCCCACCCCTCCCCCACACAGGCACACCTAAACGCCCACAGTTCCTGCCTTCTCTATGTCCTTTCAGTCCTCTGAGGTAATGTGACTACTAAAAAGCTTTTGATTGCAATACTTTTTTATTGTAGGGAGTTTTAAAAATCCAAGAAATGACTACATGTCTTCTTGTAAAAATGTCAAGCAACAGAGATGTAGATAAATAAAATGGAAGAATGCCCCCTCACCCTTCTGCTATGTGTATTAGGCATCACACAGCTGGTAGATAGAGGAGCCCAGAATGGAGCCAGATTGTCAGACCCCAGGGCACATGCTCCTTATCATCAGGGTCCATGGAGCCTGAACTCTCCTGACTCCCTCTGCAGGGTTCTGATTCGAAAGAAGGGTATGGGTTGATCTGGGGGACCCTGTGGGAATTCACTAATGCAGGGCTGGCTGGGGGTTCTCCGAGCTGTCGCCCACTCCAGGTATGTTTTGGCGACACCCCTGCCAGAGTGTGCCAATCAACAGCAGCCTCACAGCAAGTGCAGGACCTTCCAGCTTCTGTCTGGGAGTCCACCGTCCACCAAACTCAGAGGTCGGCTCTCTCAGAGTCCCCTACTCCATGGGTCTCTTTAGAGGCTAAATGGCGCCTCTCCTAGTGCTTCAGCCCAAGTTCAACAACCAGGCCCTGTATGGGGTGCTGGCACTGGAAAGAGGGCACAGTGACCTTGGTGGGCTCTGCCTCTCACCCCAGCAGCTCCAAGCCCCTGCTAAGATTTTATATTTTCTGGCCAGGTCGCCTCTTTCTTGGTCGCCCAGGTGCGAAAACTGAACGACAGCAGTAGCCGGCGCCCCCAGCTCTGCGACGGGGGACTCAAGACCTGGCTGCGAAGGATACACGCAGACAGGGACAAGTCAGGGGATCGACCCGAGGCGGTGAGTGCTCCTCCCCCACTCCCGCCCAGGCAGATGGAGAAAGGGGCCAGGAGCGGCGAGAGGGCGCCTGGCGCATTCGCATCCTCCAGGTACTCTCTACCAGGCGGCCAGGAACGGCGCTGCCGATTGCGGCCACTAGGGGGCGCGCCGACCCCACCGCAGCGAGCGAGGAGCTGGTGCCTCAGAAACCGTGACAGGGAGATGACAGGACTGAGGAAGGAGGAAACTCATGTGATGTGGGGACTTCTAGAAGCTATCTCCCCTGCCACATTTTTAGGCATCCCCTTGTGTGCCAGATCAAGGGTAGGAAAAGTGGGGGTCGCCTTGTGAGGTGTGGGGTGATTGGGACGAGGAGGAGGGTAATAGAAGGGAAGAGCCTTCCTTGAATACTGAGTGTCCCTGGGAGGAGTCCTGAACAGGGTTCCTTATGAGAGTTCACAGAGCAATTGACTAGTGCTGCGTTGTGCACGTGTGCATGGGTGATGCATATTATAGAAATCTGTGTACAGGTGTTTGTAGGTGCATTGCATGCACTCCCGTGGTGTGTACGAGTATGAATGCATGTGCATGCATGTTTCTATGCCTGTGTTCGTGTATGCACACTTTGGGAAATGTACATAAGTGGATAATGTATGATCTGTGCACAAGCAACTGTGTGTTTGCATATGTGTGCATCTTGTACTTTTAGCATATTTGTGTAAGTGCACGTGTATGAGTGTTTGTGCACACACATTTGAATTCCAGGTACGCATGTGTATGCCTATGGGTCTCTCTCTCTGCAGACTCGCAAAGTGGCAAGGATCCAGGTGGCCTGGCCTGTCAAAGATCCCCTGGAGGTGCCCCTGACCCCCAGCACCAAAGTAGCCCATGTCCTCAGGAAGTGCACAGAGTGCCTCAGCCCTGGTTTACAAGGTCAAGAGGGCAGCGAGGACAAGGACAGCTTCTTCCCCTGGTAAGGAGCACCTCCACAAGACAGGAGCCTCTCTCCTGCAGGGAGCAGGGAGTGGGTGCCAGGAGGGGTCTGCACATCAGAGCTGAAGGCCATTGAGGGGGGTTGCACATGGCTGTTGGCCTTTCCCTTTCTGAGGTGATCAGAACTGGGTTCTCCAACCTTCTTAGGGAGCTTCTTGGCTTCAAATAATAATGATAATAGCGTTCATTCCATTAACAGGTACTTAATGAATGCCTGCTATAGACCAGGTACCATGTGGAAGGCTAGAATCACACTGAAAAGAGCAGACAGGGGCCCTGGATTTACGAGCTCAGCCCTGTGGAAGAGAGAGACATGAGTCAAATAGCCACAAAGTCAATATCAAGTTACAAACTGCATTAGATTTTATAAGACATATAGGAAACAATGTGAATGTAAGACAAGGCACCTGGTATATAGTCTGGGACATGACGTAAGGCTTCCAGGCACCACAGAAAACTGCATGTGCAAAGGTCCTGAGGCAGCATGGCCAAAGAGCTGAAAGAGGATCAGTGGGGCTGATATGCAACCATTATTCCAGGACGCAAGAAACAGCTTAAGCTCTCAGAAGCTTCCTCAATGGAGTTGGCAGGAAGGACTCTTGAACTGTTGTTAGTCCTTAGCAAGTGTCTAGTCCAGTTCTTCCTTGTGCAGGTGGGAAAACTAAGGCCCAGAGAGGGGAAGGACCTTGCCCAAAGCCATACAACAAACTGGGGACAGATTGTGGAATTGAACTCATATGATGATTATGTGATACTTCCATGATAACTATAATGATCATACAATATCCATAATCCATCTTGACCCAGCACAGCAGGCTCCTGTCCCCACATGCCACCCCTAATCGCACCATCCCTGCAGCTTCCATTCTGATGCTCAGCAGGTAGGGGCTTTGTGGTGGGGGACCTATGGCTGGCCCTCCCCCGCTGACTTTTCCCTGCCTCTGGGCGCTAGGCTCCTTCATGGCTCCGGTTCTATCACGAGGGTCCTTATGTTTCATCACCCACATGGGACCAAAAATCAGTGAGCACCACCCCGTCCAGGCCTGGGGTCTGTAAACAGTTGTTGGTCTTGCCGCCTTGAGAGGAAGAGCTCAGCGGTTTTCTCCTCTCTGTCTTGCAGCAGGTCCATGAAGTCAACCAACATCATCCTCTACGAAGTTGGAGGGAATATCAGTAAGTTCCCTGTGGAGAGTGAGTTCAAGCTCAGGTCCCTGGCGCTCTCTGACCTTGGGGGCTCACTGGGCTCTTCTAGGGGAGACTGGTGTCCTTCTAAGGTTGTGCCTTTCCCTCAGGTCTCTGTCTCCCATGAAACCAGGTAGAATGCTGCTGTGAGGTTAAGGGTCAGCTTGTGGCCACACCTCAGGATTCCATCTTAGAGTTTTGAGTAGGGCTTAGAGTGCCCTCAGGTGTGGAAAAGGCAGAAGTTTTTGTTTAGCGTGATGGTTGTCAGTACCACCTGTGAAATTGATGCCTCTGGGTCACCCTAGCTGAAGTGGACCTCCTCCAGGGCCAATGGCCATGGAGTCCCTAAGGAATTCCGCAAGCACTTGGCCAGCTCTGAGAGACCCCTGGTTTTGTGGGAACCGGGGGTGAGCAGCTGTTCTCAGTTGCATTCTTTAGAGCAGCGAGTCTGAAACTTTAGCAGTGCATCAGAATCACCTGGATGGCTATTAAGACACAGGTGGCTGGGCCCTGAGAATCTGCATTTCTAACAAGTTCCCGGTAGATACTGATGACGCTGCTGTAGGGACCACCCTTTGAGAGCCATTGGCCAAGGAGCAGAGGCTTAGACAAGGTTTGGGGAGTAATGATGCACTGATGGGACGCTCCTCAAGAAGAGCCTTGCAAGGGAGGGAGGGGAGGAAAATGAGTGACGTCTGGCCGTGGCCACAAGGGGGCTCTAGAGCGCCAACTGCATCAGGGTGGTTTGTTTTAGAGGCAGGGAGGATGGTCTTTTTGCCTCTGGGTCAGTCATTGGCTGAGGGCTGCCCTGGGGGCGGGGCATAATTTTCCGGGCCTGGCACCCGACATTAGCGGAGGTCGAATCTCCAGAGAAAGGGGTATCTGTGACCCAAAGCAGCCAAGGCTCACACAACTGGGGTTTGGGGGAGCTGGTGCGCTGGCCTGGCGAGGGGCCCTGGGCAGGCCAGCAGCGGCTTCCACAACCACCACCACCCTCATCCTTCTGCCCCTTGCTTCCCACAGGTGAGCATCGCCTGGACCCAGATACCTACCTCTTAGATCTGTACCGCGCCAATCCCCTTGGCGAGTGGGTCATTAAACAGAGCCCCACCTAAGCCCTGGACTCTAAGGAGCAGCCCTGGATGCCACACCTCCGCCCCCTGCGGGCTCTGGGCTCCCTACGGGTGTGCCAGGGGGGAGCACAGCTGCTTAAGGAGAAGGCCTAGGCCTTCCTCCAAGGCGCCTTCTCCTCTGAAATGCCTCTCAGGTCCCGAGAAGGACTAGCAGCTGGGGCCGTCTCCTTCCTGCAGAGCCCTCACCCTATGCACTCCACGGCCATCACGATGGCCCTACCTACACGACGTTTGCTGCATGACAGCACCACGTGGGGCCTTGGAACGCCACGGATTTTTATTGGTGATTTCCAGCCCTAAGGAGAATAAAATATACAGCACCTCTATCAAGAGGCAGGGTTTTTTTCCCCCAGGGAAAATTACTTTAAAGCAATGTGTAGTGGGACAGCCCTCAGGAGAAAGCTGGAAGAGCTCTGTGGCCTTGGGCACGCCCCTTGTCCTCTCAGAAACCCCCTTGAAGATGAATGGGTTGGACCTCAGGACAGAAAGCAAACGCCTGGCCCTGAAACAGAGCCGGGAAAACAGAAGAGGAAAAACCTCCCTTCACGGTTCTTATATGTTCAATGTTGCTTCGTACAATCTTGTCATTTTGTAATATGATATTTAAATTCTGTTTGAACATTAAAGGCACAAGCTAAAAGTGACTTTTACTTTGTGCAAGTCTTTTTCTCCCCAGCCTACTACTCAGGAAGTGTCGTCCTTCCAGTGAATTAACATGGGAACTTGGTAATGAGAACGCCTTGCTGTGTTTCTCAACTTGGCCTGGCCACGCCTTGACCCTGCAGCCTCCCAGAGGGACTGGGAAGAGAACTCAGAAGGGAGAACTCACGACAATTGTTAAAGGGTGGGGGGCACTGCAGGAACAGCTTCTCTGGGCTCCTGTCCCCACCCCTCTCATCTCCTGTGGTCCCAGCTCTCTCCCTTCCTCCTTTCCCCTACCCTGGGTCTGTCTCCTCAGGACAGGTGAAGCTTCATTCATTCATTCATTCATTCATTCAACAATGAATTTATTAAGTTGCCGTTTCTGTTCCCCAATTACTTCCTCCCCCCTACAATCTATCTACAAGCTCTGGAGGACCTCCCTCCAAAATACATCCTAATCTGCCCTCTTCACCCCTTTGTTCCTGCCACCATCCTAACCCAAGCCACCGTCACCTCAATGTCTTTGATGATGGTGTTGATGATGGTGATAGTGATCATGATGGTGGTGGTGATGGTGATGATGATGGTGATGAAGGTGATAGTGATTATGATGGTGGTGGTGGTGATGGTGATGGTGGTGGTGGTGGTGGTGATGATGGTGATGGTGGTGCAAAGTCTCAACGGCTTCAATGCCTTTAAATATTTTCTCTTCTTGCCCTCCTATCCTCTGTACAGCAGCCACAGTGGCCCTTTTAAAACAAAAATTCAATTCTACTGGAAGCCCTCCTACTGAAGACCTTCCAGAGGGCTCTAATACCACTTAAAATAGTGTCCCAACTTCTTACCCTGACCTATGAGGCCCATTTAATGTTTCTGATATCACTTCACCCACACTTCCCCTCACTTTGCAGAGCCAGCCATAGGAGCCTTCTTTCAATTCCTCAGACATACCAAGTTCATTTTGCTTTTGCTCTCTCTCGACTCTCTGCCTGGAATACTCTCCCTCCAGCGACCCCCATGGCCAGTTCCTTTCACCTCTAGGTCTCAGCTCAGATGTCTTTTCCTTCAAGAGCCCTTCTCTGACCATCCCATTTGAAGGTGCTTCCTCTCCTATTGTCCCTCTCTCTCTCTCTCTCTCTCATCCCTTTAATTAGTTAAATTAATTGATTACCATTACCTGAAATTATCTTATTTAATTCATTTTTTTAATCATCTGTCTCCCCAGCTATGAGGTAACCCCATGAAGGCAGAGACCTTGTGAAGTTTTGTTCACCTTTGTGGATATGACGGTACATAGTAGGTGCTCAATAAAAACATATGGGTGAATGAATGAGCAGAGGACTCCCTCTCTGCCCCCTCTGTCTGTTTCCTCTAAAAACTGTTGCCCTCACCACCTGGCTTAACTCTGACCTACCCGGGTTGATGTGTGAAAATGAGGAAATGCACCTGAAGTGCCTATAGCAAGTGCTTATTCATTGCTATCATCATTATTATTATTATTATTATTTATTAATAAGAGCCAGGCAGCCTGAAATGCTGACTAATGATAAGATTTCTCTTACGGTTCCCAGCACCTGAGCTGGTCCCGTTGTACACCCCAGTGCCTTCTTTACAGGACTGGGATGGCAGGGAGCTGTGTTGGAGGGACAATCCTTTAACCTTGGCAGAGGGAGGGGCAGGTACCCTGGTGGCTGCCAGGAGCCCAGGCCTGGCTGTGCTAACTTGGCACTCAGAGTGGGCCGTGAGCCATCGGCGGAGGATCCCAGCTTAATCGCATGTCAGCGTCCTCGTTCATCTTCTGTGCTATCTGAGGGCTCATCTTTTCTGCTCTGTGGCATCATGGTGATTGATGATGCTGCGCCAGCCCCGCTGCTGGGCTAGCACAGCTCACAGTGGGTGCCCAGCTTCTCTGGGTTCTTTGCAGCTTGGGGCCAGCTTGGGCTGGGATCATGTGTTTGGTTTTTTTTAGAAGGCTTGTTATGGACTGAATCGGCCCACCACCCTCTGAATTCATATGTTGAAATCCCAACCTCTAAGGTGACTATATTTGGAGATGCGGGCTCTTAAAGAGGTAATTAAGGTTAAAGGAAGTCATAAGGGTAAGACCTTAATCCCATAGGACTGGTGTCCTCATAAGAAGAAGAGGAGACACTAGAACATTCTCTCTCCATGCGCACAGAGGAACGGCCATGTGAGGACACAGGGAGAAGGCAGCTCTCTGCAAGCCAAGAAGAGAGTCCTCGGGCCGGCCGAGTGGCACGATGGTTAAGAACTGTTTTGGGACGCCAGAAGGCCCCGGTTCGGATCCCACATATGAGGGCCAGTGACACTGCCCTCCACTGCTAAGATGCTGAACAACAGCTCAACCTGGAGCTGGGCTGCCGTGAGTCACTGGCAACAGCATATGCTGCAGCCCTTGTGGCAGTGGGTTGCCATGGGCTACCGTGTGTAGCCAGCAGCCAGCATGAGCGGCCAGCGGCCGCAGTGAGCGGCTGTCCAGAAGCCGGGGACTGATCTGCCTCCCCCAGGAAGAGCGCAATGATGGTGCCAACTTGGGCCAGTGAAGCAACGTCCTCCACAACTAGACTGAAGAACAAAACAACAGCAACTTGTCTGTTCCCCTTCCCCCAACTCCCCACCACTGTTCCCATCTCCCCAATTCACCAATAAAAATCTTAAAAAAAAAAAAAGAGTGTCCTCACCTGAGACCAAATTTTCTGGCACCTTGATCTTGGACTTCTAGCCTCTAGGACTGTGAGAAAATAAATGTCTGTTGATTAAGCCCCCAGGCCATTTTGTTCTGATGATGGAGCCGGCTGAGATAAGCCCTTACCGCCTCCAGCTCCTGAGAAGGAGGAGGGTGGGGTTTGGAAAGATGCTCTTGAGTGAGAGCGTTGCCTTGGCCGAAGGGCAGACCTGATCCCCGAGCAGAGGAGATGCCTCACCTGGCATTCAGGTGAGCACTTCTCCGGGAGAGGGAGCATTTAGAGGGGACCACACTGGGCTGGATAGCAGACTCTGGGCTCCAATCCACCTCTGTGGGGCTGCAGGTAATGTGTCCAACCTCTCTGTGCTCCCTTCTGCTATTTCTACCTTGTACAGAGGGCGGGGAGGATGCGATGAAGGAATCTGCACTCACTTGACAAAGACGTCAATAGCCCAGTATGAGCTCAGCACTGGGCTAGGCTGGGGCCAGAGTAATAGACAAGACAGGGAGGGTTCCGGCCCTCTTGGAACCCATAGACTCTTGAGGGAGACACACTAACTTGGAAACAAAATGATCTCACATCACGATAAAATTCTGCTGAGAAAATGAAACACATAGAGAGGCAAGGGAGGGTGTGGAAAACATGGGTAGATCTTTGTTTTCAGTGACGAGGGAAGGGTCTTAGATAGGGGGCCCCCAGAAGCAGATCCTGAGCCAAGAATCGGAGGACAAGTCGTTTACTTGGGAGAGGGTCCCAGGAAGACCCAGTCAAGAGTGGAGACATGAGATGGGGAAGGGCTGAAGCCAGTGAAGGATGGGCTAATGAACAGGTTACAGCAATGGGCGGCTGAGGCTCAATGCTGCAGGGTTTCTGGGAAATGGCGTAGATATGCATCTGACACGTGCCAACCAAACAGTAAAGAAGATAGAGTATTATCCACCTTTATTGGCTGAGTGCTAGCTCTCTGGCATGTCTGGCCCATCCCACAGACACACCTTCCCATGTCAGAGAAAGATCTTGGGCAGAGACGGCCAGGTGCTTGCAACAGGAAGCCATCAGCAAGGACAGGAACAGTGGGTGCCAAAGGCTGTGGGTGGGACAGGTGTGGCTGTCATATCTGCTACAGAAGAGCTCTCTGAGGAGGTGACACTTGAACTGACACCAAAATGATAAGAAGGAGCCCGCCCTTGGAAGAGCTGGGAAAGGAGGTTTGCAGAGAGAGGGAACAGACAGATCTCAGCCAAGGTCACTGCTGTGGAGCATTGTTTGCCAGGGCAGAGGCTGTCTGGTGGCAGCCTGGGCTAAGGAATAGATCAGGCCCCCTCCCATCCTACCCTCTCCACCACATTCATCCATATTCTCCCCACTCTTTGTCCCCACCTACAGCAGAATCAGTGATTGGCTGGTCAGGAGGATGTGAATGGAGCCTGGGGGGGGGGCAATCCCAGGAGGCCCCATCCACTCATTGGTTCCAGGTGCTGCCCACTTGAGGGACGTGAGAGGCGGGACAAGTTGAAACTCTGCGGCCACTATTGCCCTCACTCCCCCAGTACCAGAGGCAAAAGGGAAGGGCCTCCTTGGCTGTTCAGTGATGCTCTCCTGCCACTTAGGTTGTGCCTCCTTGTGGCTCTAAGTAGCCCCCACCCCCACCCCAGCAATCCCAAGGAGCCCCAGTGTAGCCTAGTGGCCAGATCAGGTGGGCAGAATGGCAGAACGGCCCCACAGAGGGGTGTCCTGTCTGTTGGCAGCCCACCGAGGGCTCAGAGACACAGCATAGAACAATTCTCAGAGCTATTCACTCCTAAGGGGTGAGAGAAGAGAATTTGAAAGCCCACTCCCACCAGTCATTGGCTGAGGGCTGTTTTGAGGGTGTAAATTCCCCTGCCCTCCCAGCCTGTGTGTTGAGGGGAAGCCCCACGTCCTTGGAACTTGCTGGAATACAGTGAAGTCATAAAGCCTTAGAGATATGGATGGGGTATAAATAGTGTTACCTCACCTATTCATCATTCAATTCACCAGAGTTCCAGTCCTCAGTAATTCCTGCAAACCTAGGAGGCTAACACATAGGGTACCACTTCCCTCCTCTGAACTTTGCTCCCTGAATCGTCCTCCTAGTCCCCAGCTGCCCAAATCAAGCATCCCTTTGCAGCAAGGCACGGTGTCTCCAGGAGGTGCCTTCCTTGGGTGAGGGGGTTTCATGCCCACCAATGCTCCTCCTCTCTGGCAGGTGCCAACCAACAACCCCGCCCTTAGTCCCAAGCAGGAGAGCAAGC